ACTACGTTCAAAGATGTCATCACAGCACAGGAATAAAAAGAACAAACAAAAAATGAATAAAACAAAAAAATATCAAACCTAATGGCTAGCTTTGATAACTCGTCAAAATATCTGATCGGTGTTCTAGAGATACTTAAGCAATACCAGAACGCGGCGATAGCAACAATGACGTCAAATACTACAGATAGTTACATCACAGTCACAGAGCATCATGTTTCAAGTGACTAGGAAATCCATGGTAATGTTTTGGGCAGACGAGCTATCCCTGCGTTCTTGAAATGTTCTGAATCCGAAATATTGATCTTGTACAGCACGTGGTAACTAAATTTGATAGACAAAATGTTTGGACGGATTGCGCAGCAGAGAAGGGCATTGACACAATTTAACTTGGTAAGTCTGACAGCAAAATGTCCGATGCGTACCTGCTTCTTTGCGACAACGAGTGAGATACGGTTTCAGATCTGGTCATCAAATCTTACAGGTGCGGATGTATGTGTGGATATCAGAGGTATATCCTATTATTTGTGGACTTATCAACGGACATTTCAAAAGATTGTGAAGATTGTGCACTTATCAGTCGTGTTAAGGAATAAAATTTCCAAAATCTCATCATCGTACCAACCGGATTCAGACGAAACTATCTCCGCTAAGCCTCGATTCTTGGTCCCGGACTGGACATTCGATACAAAGATTTGACATTTCTTTCAAGTGAGCAGCGTATATATTAGAAACATGCCTTAATGATGCTGTTCAATGTCACTGTTTTAGGAGATTTTGTAGAGGCATCTACATGTACTAGGAGACGGAAACTTGTATTCCTGATGTCTACATAAAGTAAACCTTGTACTGATGAACTTTCTAAACCAGTAAACGAAGACATAAAGGCTCGGAATGGTAGAAAAAAATGAGGTTCAATTTTCCAGTATAGCTCAGGTTGCAAGATTGGATTTAACTATCTCTGCAATATCAGTGCCATCAGAAAAAAAATATTTTCGGCAGGCGCACTTATTTTCGCAATGCTTTTAAAAAGATTGTCAACGAGCTGGTTGACAATATCGCTTTCTTGAGAAAAGTATATATAAAATAACTAAAATAAATTTTCAGTCAATGAACGAGTGTCATACAATGATATTTTATAAGATAGTGAATTGTGTGAGATTAATATGTGTTCAACAGGTAAAACTTACCATTAATTTTCCTTGACAGAGTAACAGTCCTTTATAATGAAAGTGTCTGTCTTATACAGTGACGCAAATAGTTTGCGAAATACATATACTATAATATTAAAACTATATGTTTGTTTGTTTGTTTTTGGTTTTACGTCACATCGACGCAGTATAGGTCATATAGCGACGTTCCAGCTTTACTTTTGGAGGAAGACCTCAGGTGCCCTTCCGTGCATTATTTCAGGCACGAACGGGCACCTGAGTAGAACCACCGTCGTTCCGTAAGCTACCTGGATAGCTTCCTCACATGAAAGAATTCAAAGTCCCTGTCGGGATTCGAACTCAAAGCAGTGAGCTCGAGGGGCAAGTGATTTGAAGTCAACAACCTTAACCACTCGACTACGGACGCCCCAACTACATGTATACTGTGATACCACACCCATAAAAATAGTTCAATCTCTACATGAGCATTCTCATAAATGAAGTGAGTACGGCCTTCAAATCATTACATGTATTTAATTAATTATTGCATCTTGGTTAATTTAAATTGACTTATTAAGTGCGGGATATTAATTGTATGAAGTTTTTTTTCTGGAATCAATTTCTATGTGCATTTCAATTGAAATAATTACAGCCTATACTACGTCATATACGAATGAACTTCCGTTTCCAACATCCCCTGTTTTACCCTACATGTGCGTCACAATGCATTCCTGTTGTTATGTTCTGGCTTTATTTGATGACCTGTGAACTTTCCATGTGGTTTCCGTCTTTTTATTGTGCCCCCCACTTTAGCGGGTAAGGCATTTAGATTTGCCTTTGTTAGTCCGTCACTCCGTACGTGCCTCTGTTCTCTTCTTGTATCACATGTACCTCTAAATGAGCCGCGTCATGACAAAACCAACAAAGTGTGTTTGTGATCATCATGGATCCAGACCAGACTGCGCATCCGCGCAGACTAATCAGGATCCATAGTTTCTCTACTTGTAATATGGTTCGTAAGTTAACAGCATTGATCCTGATCAGACTGCGTTGATGCGCAGGCTGATCAGGATCCATGTTGTTCGCAAACCCTCTATGTTGGTTTTGTCATGGCGAGGCTCAAATGTGCTTGAGCGAGAGTCAATAAACTTTACAGGAATGTTTGTCAGCATGTGTAATTGTGCACGTGGGTATTTACGTGTAGAATTATTCAGTTTTGATAGAGTTATTGCCCTTGACTTGGTGAAAATTTGCAAATTTCAACTTGTGTCGTGCATAGCCAAAAAAGTATTTGAGATAGAGACATATAACTTTACAGAAATGTAGATCAGTATGTAAAGTTGTGCACCTTTGAGTTATGCGTGTGGATTTATGAGGTATTTGTAGAGTTATTAGTCTTGACTTAGTTAAAATTTGCAATTTTCAATTTGTGTCGCGTGTAACCTAAAAATATTTTACCTAGTCATGAAACTTTACAGAAATGTTGATCAGCATGTGAAGTTGTGCGCCTCGGGTTTTGCTTGTAGATTTATTTATTATTGTAGAGTTATTGTCCTTGACTAAGTTAAAATTTGCAATTTTCAACATATGTCGTGCGTAGCCCAAATAGGGTTTGACCTAGAGTCATGAAAAAAAACCTAATAGAAATGTTGTTCAGCATATGAAGTTATGCACCTGAGGTTTCGTACGTGGATTAATTTAGTTTTGTCAAGGAATTAGTAAGAACTTTGAAATTTCAACTTGTGTCGCGCTAAGCCCAAAAGATATTTTACCTAGATTCATGAAACTTTACAGAAATGTTGGTCAGCATGTGTACTTGTTCACATGGGGTTTGCTTGTATATTTGTTCAGTATTTTTATAGTTATTCCCCTTAACTTAGTAAAAACATTCCAGAATGTTATGTGACGCGTACATCTAAAAGTGCTTGACCTAGAATCAACAAACTTTACAGGAATGTTGATAAGCATGTACAGCTGTACAACTTGGCTTTTAAATGTGGATTTATCTAGTTTTGTCAGAGTTATTGTCCTTGACTTAGTATAAACATTTAATTTTCAACTTGAATTTGACCTTGAGTCATGAAACATTACAAGACTGTTGGTCAGCATGTAGTTATTCACTTTGCTTCTGGATTTCGCATCTGCAGTTAGTCAATACATGTATTAGGAAAAAATGGATGTCGTTTTTAAGGCCCCAACCGCTTAGAGGTATGAATGGTCATGTAGAATTCATTTGTCTGTCCCTCTTTTATACTGCCCTGCTGTACGTCAGTAGACAGCGGAAAGTGGGGGGGGGGGGGCACCCGTGTCCTATGGGCATGTATGTATGTAGTTAATGCTTAATGATGGCCCTATGGACACATTTATAGGTTTGCTTATATAGTGTTTTTTGTGGTCTTCGATTCAGACCGACCCGTTATATTTCATGACTAGTTTTATGCCCGCCTAAACCCATCTAGAAGTGTATGTATGACACACCTAGTCCGCGCATATAACGTGTTTAGTATTAAACTATACCGAGCTTTAAAGATCCTGTAACACAATTTTTTATGGTTTTAAATCATAAATATGATGCTCAAATTAAGATTTATCAATATTGTAGGTTCCAAAAAGCATTATTTGTAAAGATAATACCGAATTTAACATTTCATGTAAATAAAGGGCGGTAATAAAAAATCTATTTTCTGTAAAGTTTAAGTCAAATTTTACAATAAGAAGTGAATGCGTATATTTTAATGATTGCATATAATATGCACAAATATTAGCAGTATATATTTTACATATTCTTGGATGTTTGAAAATTGTTTTATTTGCATAATTATGTAGTGTGGTTTATCACTTTGATCACAACATACAGGGTCTTTAACCTTTTAGTAATAAAGATATCAAACGACTGTAGTTAATGTTCCTGCCAAAAAAATACCTGTACAAGGCATTTGTAGCACGCATTTCTATGTTTAATATTGAATGCATTAACAGGGTGAAATTTCGCAATATCTCTCTCTCAATTTCACGATGGATGGATGTGTTAATCAAACATGCTTGAAATAATGTCTATGAACTTTTGCGAATTTAGTATATGTTAAAATTTCTTTTTGTAATGAAAGGCTCTTTAAACACTACAGGCGCTTTGCATAATGTTTTTCATCAAATTAATTTTGCTTGTCATGTCAATTAAGTCCGGTTCCATCAAATGTAGATTCATTTATATACACTAGAACATATTTATAATCTAATGAAAAAAGATTGTCCTTCGCCAATTCGTTTTTATAGTTACGAGGGTGATATTGGTGCGTTGGCTGTGCTCTATTTGCCATTACTGAAACGGTAAGATATGTATTAAAAAAGAAATGTTGTCAAAGCGGTTAAGAAATTATCTCATACAATTTACTCACGGCCACTGGTTGAATTTAGAGCATTTAACATGACCAAATTTGACTAAAATGTACATTTGAATATGCAAAATAAGAACCGAGATGCGACGTAGTTCCTTAGTTTCAATGCCGAAGGCTAAAGAAAAAAAGAGGAGCGAGTGGTTCCATTGTTAACGTGGATGCCGCAACCAGTGGTCTTGGTCAGGAATCGATCACTATTTTTATCAGCATAGCGTATCAGCAAATGAACTGTCCAATGGTAAAACCTTTTTGGAGGATCATATATTTTTCAGACGATGGTGTTCCTAAAGAAAACACATCTGTTAAGGAAAATGGATAATATTAAATCAAGTTACACTTGAGCTAAAGACACAGTTCGAAAAAAGGTGAGTAGCCCAATCAGCTACTAATGCTCCGGAGTACAGGTAATGTTTTGTAAAGCCCAAATGATTGAAAGCAACTCGGAATTCGCATGTTTATTGTAAGGTAATGCTTTAATTTAATAATCGGAATTGTTAACATTTTTTTTACATTAAGAACATTTTGCATCTTAAGACATGTCCTTAAGTGATTTCCCATTTTTTGCAATTCAGTGAATATTTAAATATAAGTTTTAAAAGAAATATAAAATGTATCATTTAAACCCTAAGCCCTTATTTTTAATTTCTGAAAACAAAGTTAATGTTTCGGTAGAGAATATGCATGTGCCATTAAGGCGAAGTCAGTACACCAGCAGAAAGCTTAAGAAATGGTGCATTTTTAATGTACGTTTTGTTGTTAATTTCAACTTAATTTTGCGCATTTGTTTTCTTACTTTTTGTACATGTATATGCTTAAAAATAATTTCAACAATTCAAACTAATGTCTGATGGTAAAACATCTGATTTAGATAGAGGCATTATAATCCTTTTAACTTTAAATATTAACACTTTACCGTTCTTGTTCATGTACATCTAGATTAAAATTAAGAAATTATTCCGAAATGTTATCAAATTTGCAATGAAAGAAATTTCTACAGATCTCTCATAAAAATTTGATGACAGGGTTTAATTGTTTTGTCACAATTGTCACACAATTTTTTTTTATATTCAATAAACATTTGAAATTTCATGCTACTAATCTGACAAAGGATCTTCAAAATCCAATGAGTCGTCTGCTTCAAGTTCCTGCACGTGACCGACGTCACGACCAAATCTACCTCCGCCTAGAGAGTAATCTCCAAAGCCACGTTTACCGAATCGACCTCCGCCAAGTCCGTAATCATAATCCCATGATCCTTGTCTCTTATTTACATCAAACGTGTTCGAATTTCCATTCTTTGATAAAATAGCTGACAACAATGGACGTGCGTTCACTTCTGCAGACGGAAAACTTTCCATTGTACCAAAAGACGGGTGGTCTTTAATCTGACTCCCTTGAAATCTTGTATTTGATAATTCACTCCTTATGTTATTTGATTTTGAGTTGATGATAAGTTCTTTCCTTAGTTCATCTATAATCGTATCTAGCTCACCGGTCCTTGTGCCTGTGTTGAATGACGACGACGGAAATGACATTGCGCATGCGCAAAAAACTGTCAACACTGTTACACACATGATCACTTCTTTGAAAAACTTCATTATCGTACACATATTGCAGTTTCTGGAAAATAAGAAAGAAAAAGACAATTGAATAATCTCTCAAGCACATGATTGCTCCTACAAACACAAAATGTTATGAGATTTCTGAATGCTAGCCTTGTGACCCATATGTTTATATTTTATCCTATTAGCTAGGGAAAGTGATTTTAAAATAAAAGGCATAACTATAGCACCATTTTCCTTAAATGTATGATACCTTGGAATAAAAACATTTTTCTACAAATATCAGATCGACAAAGTGATGTTGAAGACTTGCTAATCATACCCCTTTGCTATCCGGAATCATTTTAATCTTTAAACATATTTTGGCCCCAAGTATGTTTTTTTTATCCCTAATGAAGAAACCTGTTCTGGATATCACATTATAGGGAAGGTGGCGTCCATTTCTCTTTTCAATTTATCCCCCATCCCAGTCAAAAAAATCGGACGCTAAATTAGCTAAACAAATAGGTTAGATACTATACTCCTGTTTAAATGTCGAATATCCTAAAATGTTAGCTAGCAATTTTTGTATTTATCGGTAATTTTGTTCTTAGCTTTATAAAGTTGTTTGAAATAATCAAATCACCTAAAATACTCATTTTCTCGTTCTACTTTTCCCGTAATTGATTTGATCATGTGAAAAAGTCAAACGTTAGTGTAACTTATGTAATTTGTATGTGTTGTAAGAATGTATATCAAAAGTAAAACATTTCGGAGTTTAATACAAATTCCAATAACTCTCGTATCATTTTGTTATAGAAAGTGTGGGCAAATTTATAATGGGCAAAATAAGTTGTTATGGAAAATAAAAAGGCGTAAACAGCGATATTATATTTACAGTCGCGTTCAATTTTGTATCAGAAGTGTTCCTAATGTTTCCACAAAGCGACTTCAACATTAAACTTTCACAACTGGATAATCCATAGATTAAGTTGGCAAAGAAAGATGCAACAGACATACAAGATTTAAATGCAGAAAAAGGAACAAAAACAATAATTATAAAACAACTACAAACAAACAAAAAAATGCAAACAAAAAACAACACAAATACAAACAATAAATCACATAAAACAACGATATATGTTCTCCTCCAAACCTAATTTCAAAAGCGTAGTTATAGTTCACCCACATTTTCCACTTAAATAACGTTTAATGTTTCTTTAATTGGTTTGCGATGACAAAAATTACATTTGATCGCCCGCTTAATCGAATTGTTGAAGAGCTATTGGTTTGTAACAAGCAAGGAAAAATGAATAAATTCGTTTGATGATTTCTTAAATTTCCGAATGATGTGTACTTTATTAAGTTGAGCCATTTATTGTTACATGTACAAAAAAAGAAAAGAGTTATCAGGACATTTTTAATTAATCAGACAAACATTTTACTTCGAAACAGGTAACAGGTAATCATTCAAAGTTTTTCATAGATAGAACCAGGTAACGTAAGAATAAATATTTTACTGGCACAATATTAGAATACTACGGAAGAGCATTAGTGCCAGGTGTATGTTTTTTATTAACTCGAAATTTCGAGTTAGTAACTCGAAATTTCGAGTTACTTATCTCGAAGTTTCGACTTAGTAACTCGAAATTTCGACTTATTAACATTACAAGAATGGCCAAAGTTATTAGTTAGATGGTATAAGATATAGTAGGCAGTGCCTTTGAATGATGGAGATGGAGAAACGGGTGCCTGGACAAAAACTATTGAAATTTAACTTAAACTTAGTAATGGCATGTACACACCCGACCTAAAAAATACAAGGCTTCCTTTAATTTGTACGTTCAGGCGTTCTTCAGACGTTGTATTGTATCCCATATGTTCGAACATATCTTTTCACTAATCATGTTCTTCTCATCCCTGTAAAAAAATCGATCCTATACTTCACGTGAGGGACATCTGAGGAAAGTATCGCGGCGTGGCCAAAATAGGGCGCGCTGAGGCCTTTGTCAAAATTGTTGGTCTGACTATATTTCTTGTAAAATCGGATGCTTTTATATTATTCCCAACATATATATAACAACAAGTATCACTTTTATCAACTTTTATCAACACAATATGAATCAAAGTATTAGTAAATAATGAATAATGTTACAAAAACATTATTAGTATAAAGAAACGTGACAGACTAACTGGCGTATACACGCAATTTAAAACTTATTTAACACATGATATTGCACAGTTTACAATAGGGTGGGTTTTGGACTTGTTGTTTCTCCACATGATGGTTGTATGTGTGCTTAAAAAAAGAAACACCCGGTTAACACGGAAATGTGGAAAGTGTGATTTTACAATACCCCCCCCCCCCCCCCCCCCTCCACAAAAAAGCGAAGGATATGTTCAGTATGTGTGGACAATTTGACCCTATAAAATTGTTCTGTTAAATAAATGTTAAAGGTGCTCTGTCAATGTGCAACAGCTACACACGAAAGAAAGTATCTTGAATTCAATCCTTGCTTTCACCGGCAACCAATGAAAGTCGTGCAATGTAAGTCGAAATTTCGAGTTAGTAAGTCGAAATTTCGAGTTAGTAAGTCGAAATTTCGAGTTAGTAAGTCGAAATTTCGAGTTAGTAAGTCGAAATTTCGAGATAAGTAAGTCGAAATTTCGAGTTAGTAACTCGAAATTTCGAGTTAATAAAAAGTATACACCTGGCACTAATGATCTTCCGTAGAATACTAATAATTAAAATAATAATAAAATATAGCAATAAAAAAAAATAAAAGGATAAGAATAAAGTTAGAACAACAGTTCGCCCCCGTGGATTTCCGTTGACGACTATCATAATTATAAAAATCATGATAAAATGTGATCCCTCAGAACCATTAATCACAACAAATTATATGAAAATGAGTCTGTCCAAGAGTGATAATGAAGAAATACAACATCCCTACGCTCCCTAGCACCGGTTTAAACGGTATTCAATTATCAACACTTAAAAATGCTGGAATCAATGATCCCGAAGGACCGGAGAAATATAACAACACTGAAGTTTTACATCATTACAATTTTAACACATTTTAACTTATTGATTTAGTACTTACAAAGTTTCTAGATTTAACGCTATTTGTGCCTATTATTGTTTTACATACAGACACTAATAAAAAATAAAATACAAGCTGTAAATCAAATATAATAAGAACAAATAGGCAGCTTATAATGTTTGTTCTTTTTGTTCAAAGCAAATAGCACACAAAGTAAAGTAATACATCTTTTGTCACTTTTTCCAACATAGTTACGTAAACACATTTTCTCTTATCTAATACCAACCGGTTTGTATTACTTTATTAACTACTTTCTATATATTGGAATGAGAAAAGTAAAAGCCTTTTTATTTTGAGAAAAAACAGAAATGCCTCAAGATATTAAGAAAAGTGAAATAATTGTTTGAAATGAGTAAAGTTGAATGGTTATTTTTACAGGTCGCGTATTGGTTGGACAGGGAAATAGTGGTTTATTGAGATGACCTATTGGTGTTTAAATAATAAAATATTTTGATAGAGTGTTTACAGGGGTGTATCACATTTGGGTGGGGGGGTCAGGATCTGACTCACAAGTGTCTGTGTTCTCAATGTAAAAAAGTCAGCAAATCTTTTCCTGTCAATGTGTAAATTACTTTCACATTTTTTACGTATGAATTCATCCCACTTTTCACCCCTTGTGTCTCATGGGTGCTCTAAGAGTTGGGGCATCAGAATGCCAGCCACTTTTTATATTCATAAGAGGTGACTATATATGTTTGAATACTGAAGCTTATGCATCTCTCAGCTCCAGCAGGTAAGGTGATTTTGACATGTGTTGTTGCTTTAAGTTTTGTAACATCGTGATTAGCCAAAACAATCTTTTCCTGTTTCGGCGCCATATGACCTAAATTGTGTTGGTACGCCGTAAAGCCAAACAAAAAAGCCTAGCATATGTTTGCGCTCTTGTTTCGCCTTTTGAGCCTGTGCCCACGCTATAATTCTCTCCCGACTAAACTTGTATCAAAATCATCACTTTCGGGAGACTCATTATGACCGCCAAATTCAAATATTTATATTATACATTACATAAAATAAAAAATAGGTAAACAGCATCTTGTGTAATAGTTTTATAACAAATAAAATGTCTTTTAAGACAGCTAACACGCGGGAAATGACGACAGTCGAAAGCAAGTACACTGTTTGTGTACCGGCTTGACAAGCGCTCAATGCAGAGACGGGAACTCGTCTCGTATTGCTTGGTCAGGACGCAAAATTTACTTTTTATTTTAATTAAATGTTGATTTTCATATTAAAATGTGATGTATGGATGTTTATTTTGATTACATCTAGAAGATAATTCGATATTCTCTTGATTTAAGCATTTATTTACCAGGTTTTATTAGTTTAGGGAATTCGGGTGTGCATTTTGGTGTCTGCAATATTTACTTTATTGAAACTTGATGGTAAACGTTTTTGTTTTTTTCATATATGTAAAATTGTGTGAAAACCAGTTTTATCGTTGTAAGAGATGTCCCATTCGTGTTTAAATATTAAAATACTTTTGATAGAGTGTTTACAGGCGCGTATCACTTTGGGGGCAGGATCTGACCCCAAGTGTCTGAGAAATATGAAATGACTTTAAACAATTCAAAAGTGAAGTGAGCTTTAATATTGAAAAAAGTTAAATGAATTTATGCATTAGGGAAAGAGGTACCACATTAAATCTACCATTGATTTGTTTTATATAATAAGGAGATAGTTGTATTCAATTGCCAATGCATTTTTGTAAAATATATTCAAAGTATTAAATTCAATATATGTTGTATTGCACTGGGATGTGCAAATGTGATATCGATCTTTCTTCTTCTTTTGGTGGATTAAGAAAGGGAAGCCCGGCACTATTTGAATTGTCAAATGTTAGTTAAGGTCCATCATATGAACAATTACAAGTTATAATGTAAGCCGACAAGTTTTAAGTAAAAACATAATGATAATGATAAATAATAATAATTATTAATAAAGATAACTATTATGAATGTGATAACAATAATAATAA